ATATATCATATAATATATAAATATATGTATAATAAATATATATAATATATATATATTTTTAAAAGGAGGCCTTCCAGAAATTGGAAAGCATTGGCAATCTCCTTGGCCCACTTGTCCTGTTGGCACATGTAGTCCTGTGAATGGCAGACAGGCCTGAGGCAAAACAATGAAGTGAGAAGAGCGACTGGAGGGAGAAGTGGTGGGAAGCAAAGGTGTAGAGGAGAGAAAGGGGCGCACCTGGGGGTGGGCCTCATTAAAAAAGTGAGAGGTCACCTAATCCCCGTATGGGGGCAATGGGAGGATATGGGGCTTCGGTACAACTGCTGACCAGCCCTAGGCCTCTGCCCCCACCTTGTTGACCATCTCAGGGCCTTTCCTCCCAGAGTAGGTGCCCTACTGTTGACTGGGCACCATACTCTGAAATTTAACAAGATTGTGGCAGAAAGCTCTCCCTTACCCTACTTCTTCCTTATCTGAGCTAATGGAGGCAGTGAGACTCAAGGACGTCAACTGTGTGACTTTTCACTCTAGCAAAGTTGATTTTACTAGCTCACTTCTTCCAAATTCATAATAGTCTAGCTTGTAAATCCATCTATACATCCTACTACTCCACTTTATATTGGACCAATTAGTGGTTGTCTTCTAAATGAGGAACACCTTCTAATGGTTTTTATTTTTCTATTTATTTATTTATTTATTTAATTAATGTTTTAAAATTAAGTTTATTGGCGTGACATTGGTTAATACAATTATATAATTTTCAGGTGTGCCTTCTAATGGTTTTTATGTGCAAATGCAATACTATAGATGCTTAAACATCAATAAGTGTAAAAACCATAGTAATTTGAGTGGTGTGGTTAAGTTGAAACTTTTCTAGAATCCAACTCATAAATCTAGAAAAGGATTGTTATTTGTGACAAGGAACTATGTGTTCATTGTCATAAGGCCTGAAAGATTTTCAAGATCACATAACCCATGAGAAGCAGAAGTGAGATTTGGACCTCAGTCTGTTCTCACTGTGTCCTGGAGAAATTGTAGATATCAGGATTACCTTGGAAGGCTTCTTGTAGTTCAGTGCTATTATATTTCTGATTTGGAGTAAAAGCAAAAGGAGAATTGTATTAGTTCAAATTCTCTCATTTTCCAAGTAGCAAAAAAGCAATTTATAGACTTATATCTAGAAGTCAGGGAAGAAGATCAGGTATGGCTGGATCCAGAGGTTCAATCTCTTCCGCTCTTGTTCTTGCTCTGCCTTTCATCATGTTGGTTTCTTCCTCGGGTACACCACTTCACACACTGGCAAAGTGGCCCCAGGCAGGATCAGGCTTACTTGGTCCTTAGAGCCCACAGTCCCTCTTTTCTGATTGTTAAAATGGTAAAAACCTGGCAAGATTTGGTGATTCAAGCTGGCTTTGTGACTTTTCTTGAACCAGTCATGTGCCCAGTCTTGGAGGGGAGGATTGGGTCAGCCCTGTGTGAGCCATACAGAGAATTTGGGTGGGAATGGTGGTGGTGGTGGGGTGATTGTCAAAAATCTGAAAACTACAAGGATAAGAAGGTGGATACCTACTGTCTTCTCTATTTTCAACGTTGATGTATTTATTCATTCATTCTACGAATATATATTCAAGGGGCCTGGGTGGCTGCTGAGGGCCCTCAGGTAAGTAAGATGGGTTCTTGCTTTTGAGGAGCTTGGTGTCTCAAGCAGCCTGAGTTCTCAGGGAAGGTCTCTTTGGATACTTGCAAAGCATCCTCCTGACTAGGAAGGGGAATTGCAGCTCCTCTAGGATGTCTGTTGATACGAGGGATTCCTGCCAGTACCTGCCAACAAGGGTCCTTTCAGCTTTATAGGGCCACTCAGTCGTACCTCGACAGAACCAGTGATGCATTGGCTGGAGAGAGCGCACGGGAAAGAAGAGAGCGCGCCAGGCTGGGTCCTGGAGGCCGGGCTGTGAGCGCCCCCTGCGGGAGAGCTGGAGCGGCTGCGTGCAGCGGAAACCGGCCGAGTCTCGCTGAGTTCCTCTCCTTCCTCATCGTTTACAAATCCGGCCTAGAAGGGCTTGGTTTGAAGTGACGCCAAGCTGTGTGTTACCACCTGTGCCTTATTAACCAACAGCACGGTAAGCGTGGAGTAAAGTTGCTCAAACTCCGCGTGGCAGGGAGACTGGCCACCCCCAGCCGCTTTCCCCTCCAGCCCACATCGCCCAGGGACGGCTCTGCGCTCTTTTGCCTTACCAGTTTCTGCGCAGGTGAGTCGGCTCAGCCATAATCATAACCGAAATAATATTAATTGCTACAATTTTGAGTGCTTTAAGGAAAACACCGGCTAGGCGCTTTGGATCCAATTTCTTATTTAATCTTCAGGATGATCTGTGGGGGGGCATTTACAGGGGACCGAGACTTAGAAGGAACTTGCACAGCTAAGTGACAAAGTCAGGCCAGAGTCACAAGAGGGCGCGCCTTCCTTTTTCTATATTGTCGGTTGGGTCTCGCTTTTCCTGGGGGAAACTAACATTATATTTAATAAATGTAAAAAGCCATATAAACACCATATGTATGTATATGTGTGTGTGTGTGTATGTATGTGTGTGTGTGTGTATAAAATGGATCATGACCAACATGCGTTTATCTCAGAAATATAGGTTGAGACATGGACAGCATTGAGAATATGGGCTGTAGGTAGGATGAGCATACTTCTGAAACTGGAATTATGCTACATCTGGTCTGACAGTAGGCAGAAGTTTTGAATTTAAGAGTCTAGTATGATCTGGGATGTTAGTCATCAATACCATATGGGCTGAAACTAAATCTGTGAGAGGCCTTTGTGAGTTATGGCTGGCAAGCCACATGATGTGTGTATGCATACAAACTTGCACAGTTACCTAGAGCTTCCTCTCAGGTTAGTCCTGGATTCTCCCTTGCTTTAACACTAAAGTCTAGAGCAGCTGCTTTCCTCTGCCTGAGATAACCCAAAGGCTCCAATCTTCCTCTTTCTCCATTTTGCTCTCCCAGTTTTCCCTCGTTCCCAACTCTTGGTCTGGCTAAGGGTTCCACACGTCTACATTCTACTTATTCTTTATTTTACTTATTATTATTATTATTATTTATGCCTACAGCACCTGATCTTCCTAGGTGGCCTCCCATCCAAGTACTAACTAGGCCTGACCCTGCTTAGCTTCTGAGATCAGACGGGATTGGGCTTGTTCAGGGTGGCATGACCATAGACCATGGACTGCGGCTCCACTGGGGTGCGAACTCAGAATCTTCTGCGTGTAAAGCAGACGTGCTAACCACTACACTATAGAACCATATCCTCTACTTATTCTTTACAAAGTAGAATATTGGTATTGGAATGGGCTATTTCCGATTGCCCTATTTCAACAGGCCGCTTTTGGTTATAAGTAACCGCTCTATTGAATTATCCATTGATTTAAAATGGTAGTTTTTAAACCTTCATTAAGGAAGTTGTGTCTACTGATCCCCCCCGCCTTTAGGCTTCCTGAGGGCCAAGTTCCTGTCTACTTCATGCATTGGAGCCTTACTATGTAACTGTGTTGGGTCTAGATACTGAGTAACTGCATATCTATGGTTCCCAAAGCTGATGGGACAAAAACAGCCTTTGCCTGAAGATTCTGTCTAGAGTAGTTTGGGCCAACGCCTGGCAATCTGCGTTACATGCACAGGTGGCCTCCATTCCCATGGCATATACCGCTGCTGCACTGATGCCTCCCCCAGCTCATATCATGGCTTCACGGAGTGGGTTCTCTATGACACTGGAGAAGAGCTTGGGTCTGCTGGCAGGGATTGAAAATGGACTGCTGCCCCACTCAGAAGTGGTATTAAGGACTGTGGTAGGGGAAATCCTTTCAATGGGCAAAGCTGTGAGCAGTGCTCTTGCTTGTTCATTTTGTATGGAGGGAGAGGTGGCCTGAGGTAGTTTACATGGATTCCTGGGCAGTGGTGAATAATTTGGTTAGGAGTAGGAATGGAGTATATGAGACTAGGAGTCTGAGGAAGAGGCATGTGACTGAACCTGTGGGAGTGGGCACAACGCACATAGATTTTTGCGTTGACCATCAATACCCAGCAAAGGGTCACTCAACAATGAGGCAGAAAAGGTGACTTGTCTGGTAGATGTCTGTCAGCCTCTACCATGATGGCCCCAGTGCTCACACAATGGGCCCGTGGGTGGAGGAGCTACAGTAACAGGGATGGAGGCTCTGCATGGGTCTCATCTGACGAAAGCTGGTCCAGTTACTGTCACTGCTGAATATCCAAAGCGTTGGTGGCAGAGACCAAAGATGAGGTGATGGTATGGACCACTTCTCAAGGAGTCCACCTTGATATTTGTTGGTAAGTGGATTCCATCTGGCCGCTTTCACCCTACAGGGGACATCCTTTTTAGAATTGATCCTACCAGATGTCCATTTGCCTTTCTTGTGCATCTGCTAGTATCATGCAAGGGTTCAGAGTGCCTGCTTACTGACACGGGATCCCCCATAACAGCTTTTCAAACCAGAAGTTTCATTTATAGTGAAGGAAATGTTATAATGGGCATATGAGCAAAGAATCCTCTGGGCCTACCATATGTGACATCACCTGGTGTCTGACAGAAGGTTGGAATGGCCTATGGGGCCTTTTACCCCTCAGCTAGAATCAGCTCTGGATGCTGATAGGAGGCCAGAGGCCAGATGAGTAGGAGCGGGGGTCTGGGAGGGTGTATTCCATGACATGCTAGGAGCAGAGGCAATGGGAAAGAGCTTATGGGGGCAGAAGAGGGTGCCAAACGACTAAACAAAACTTAGAAACAGGTCTCTAGATCCTTTCTCTGGCGGTTCTGACCAGTGAATCTGAGGGAAGACTTGGGAATCTGACCAGTGAATCTGAGGGAAGATTTGGGAATCTTTTTTTTTTTAAAAGCTATGAGGTAAATTCATTGTTCTCTTAGGTTTGGGAACCACCTGGGGGAGGAGGATGGAACATAGAGCAGAAAGAGGCAGGTATGAGTCAGCCCCACTGCTTGCCCAAGGTGACCCACCTTCTTCAGCTACTGGCTTACTTGTGTATACACTTTTCCCATGTATGGTATGTAATCAGACATCAAATGGGATAATAGTATGTAAACTGTTATTAAATGAGTTAATATACATAAAAGGCATGTAAAACAGTGCCTAATAAGCACAAGAATGTTATGAAAGCATCAGCTATTTTAATGTAACTTATTGTTATTATTAACAAAGTTTAATAATAGGGAGAAAGGGGAAAAAAAGTAAAAGAAAAAATAAAAAATTTAAATCATTTCTTCAATTAAAAAAACAAAAAATGCAAAGAAAAAAAAAGTTTGGGGCATAGAAAAGGGACTGAAGAGGGTTAAAGACATACTTGAATTCTTCCTGTTCATTGGCTCTTCAGGAAGCCAGCAGTGGGGGCCAGGACTGCCAATTTCTTTCCTTTTCTTTCCTCTCATTTTCATTTGGAAATATTTTCAAGCTTATAAAAAGCTGCAAACAAAAATAGTACAAGCAGCACTTTATAACCTTTACTAAGATTTATCTAATGGGACATTTTACTCACATTTACTTTATCATTTGTATTCTTTATCTTCCTTCCTCTCTCTAAATATATGAAATATGTTTAAGTACATATTTACATACACATATATACATTAATATGCATGCATTCATATAAATATATTTAAACATACTATCTATGTGTGTGTATACATTTTTTCCCCTGAGTAATTTAAGAGTAAGTTATATGCATCATAGTCTTTAACTCTAAATTCTACATTATACTAAACACTAAACTGCAATAGTAGGTCTACTAAATACTACAATAAGGATATTCTTTTATATAACCACAGTATAGTTATCAACCTCACATGTTTACACTGATATTTTGTCTAATATACTGTCCATATCCAAATTTTATCAGTTGACCTAATGATGTCCTTTTTACAGAGTCAGGTATTGCATTTAGTTGTCATATCTCTATAGCTTTCTTTCATGTAGAACATTTCTGCGGCCTTTCTTTGTCTTTTGTAACATTGACTTTTTTTTTTTACGTTTAACATTGACTGTTTTTTTTATGTTTATCGAGATATAATTGACATATAACATTGTGTAAGTTTAAGGAGACAGTGTTGATTTGATATACTTATATTGTAATATGATTACTATCAGTAGCATTAGCTAACATCTCCATCAAGTCACATAATAAATACCATTTCTTTTTTTGTGGTGAGAACAAATCTGCTCTTAGCAAGTTTCAAGTATGTAGTATAATATTAATAACTATAATCATAATGCTGTATATCATGTTCCTAGGACCTATTCATCTTCCAGCTGGAAGTCTGCACTCTTTGATCAACATCTCCCCATTTCCCCCACCGCTTGGCCCCTTGTAATCCCCAATTTTACTCTCAGTTTCTACAAGTTTAGCTTTTTAGATTCCACGTATACATGAGATCATAACAGTATCCGGTTTAATTTTCTTGGTTCTTTTATTCATGCCCCTTTTGGTCACTGTAGATACAGTCTTCCAACATCTGCTTAGGAACAAAAGGCCTTGAGCAAGTGTGCTGTGTTGGAGAAGGGTCTACATAGAGGGATGGCATGAGTGAAGGTGCAGAGATAGAAATTTGAGCAATATGTAGCTGTATATTGAGGGTCATAGAGCCTATTCTCAGGAATGTTAAGGTCAGGCTGGAGCAGCTCTATAGTGAGGAGGCTGAGTACACAATCATAACATTTTCCTTTGGATCTTGAGAGATACCTCTGGGTCCAGAGAATATTAGGCTTGTGGTTATGTATGTGTGTGCATATAAGTTATAAGAACAATATTGCTTCTCTTCCTGAAAAGGTAAACCATAATTTTAATTATTATTTAGGCCTACTCTGAGGTCTCTGAATGGCCATTTCTTCATAATAATGACTGTAAGAATAATATAAAACAACAACAACAATAATGATAATTGCCTGTCTCCCTGGGGTACTGTGAGTATAAAATGAGATAATGAAATCAAAAGTGCTTTGTAATCAAAAAGATCTATACTGGCATGTTGCTAAATACCTGTTATTATCACTACTGTCCTCTAGTGGGCCCCACCCTTGTTTTTGAAGTGAGAGTTTACGTGGTATCAGTCTTTATTTCGGACAGAGTTTGTAGACACAGCCTTAATATTTCCTCGTAATATTTCCTTCTTCTTTTTTTAGGGAGACAATTAACTTGTAAAAAAGTTTGATGGATG